GTATTCGTTTATCCTTCCGGGCTAAGCGCTGTTGCCACGTCGTTCCCGCGAGCTTCCCCGGTCATCATTAGACATTGATCCCAAAACGTATACAGTAAGTACGGTCCCACCATCTTCAACCTGTGCGCGCATTCGGGAAGCAGTGACATCAAGTCGTAACCTGTATTTGATCTGTGTGGCTTGCTTGGATGTTGATGTAATCCCGTTGCAGACTGAGAGCGGTTTTGGAAGGTGAAATTCTACAATTTTCTTCAGCAATCCTTTATTTTACCTTTTAAAATAGATCCTCTCTAATTAATCCCACGGGGGTCTTGAAGGAGCCCCCCCAAATACATACTGTATATGAACCCGCTACACTTTTAATTTAGGAATCTGTGTATTTGTACAGTGCATGTGATAGAGGCAGCTACTGTAAACAGGGCCTTACCCAACCAACAGACCCACATTTCCTTCCACATCACAAACACATTTCACAGACCAGTCTCCGTGGGATATTGAGAGGTGTGGTATATACAGTAATGCGTTGCTAAAATAAAACATTAGAAGATATTGCGTGGGGAACTTTCTTAATATCCGCAAGTAGTTTCATATATATGGGGCATTCTAAGAGTTATTATCTTCTTCCAAACGGTGCGAAAAGACCAGATAATAAATCTGGTAGCTTTCTATGAGGCAGAGGTGTGAACGTAGCAGTAATTCATGTTCTGCTTCTCCAATCCGGGCAGGGAAAGCAGGAAGGAGCTGCACGGTCTTCACAGCAGAGCGTGCGGTCAGATCGCAGAGCCGATCTGGGGCTCTGCGGTTCTCAGAGTGTCCGGCAGCTCTCTGGGTCTGCCGCTGGAGGAGAAGACACGTTCATCCAGCCTGCCACGACCACATTCACACTTAACACCCCGGTGTCCAAAGCTAGTGACGTACCGCGTGTCACTTCCACTAACGATTTAAGGGACGTGAAGTTAAAACCGTTTTTAGTTATGACCTTGTACGCAATTATTACTGCCTTTAATCCATAGCACACATTTTGTCAGTTTTGAAAAAGTAGACATATGTTTCTAAGTTTCTAAGTCCCATCGGGATCACAGACCTCCAGACAGGGTTAGAAATCAGTTACACAAACAGACAACTCCTAGAGGCTCCCGTCGCTGACCTACAATGTGTACATTTGTGCTTGGAGAAAAGTTTTTCCCGCAACTGGAGGGGGTGCCATGGAAACGCGCGCTTGCTCCGGTATCTGTACTGTGCACCTAGCGAGCGCCACTGGGATCCCAGTCTGCCCAGGGCCGGACACAGTTTTGGAATTTGTATGTGGACCCCAGACATTAAAGAAAAGCGAGGAGACGGACTTCTCGCAAAACAATAAAAGACGCATCGCTAAAATCGTATTGCAGTGTACTCAGTGTTCAGTGGAAGAGACACATAGAACAGTGTTGGCAGAAGGCATAGATAGGCCTGAATGAATACTGCTGTTCTTAACAGGGGATAGCTTCATTGCTTTACAAAGGTAAAAAAAAGACACGTAAAACAATAGCGTATTTATTATTAGTAGTAGCGTTCAGTTGAGTAGGAAATCTAGTTCCGATATTATTATTAAGACTGTTGTTGTAGGCGTATTTGCCCCTGGGGTATTTCTCTGGTATGTTACCTACAGTCTCCTGGCCCGTAAGGTGAGCTTCACACACCCCCACTGCAGCGTGCCGGCGGAAAAACAGCACACAGCATAGCCATAGCGGGGACTGGTCAGACTGACGAGGGCACAGCCCCGCCTGGCGCCCACCGCGGTTCCGCTGCCGAGACGACGGAGGAGCCGAGCCGTCCAAGTCAGAACCGCACATGCGAGCGAACGCGAAAGTGGAGAGGCATAAACTGGCTCCTGTAGAACCAGCCGGGCTTTGAGTAACTGATCGGAACGCGGCGCAAGTCCACGGAGGTGCCTACACAGCCTTTAGTACCACAGCCGCAGTCCAGCCTCTCCGCCGACTCGCCCCATGGTGGACCGGTGCAGTTCCTGGCCTTAATTAGTCGCCTAATGAAGATACCGATAGGAGCTAATACCGATAGGTAATAGCCACCGCTGGCTCTGAACGCTAGCTCTGCGCTCCATAGCATGTTTCGTGTACTTGGACGGGGCTGTCTAAACCCAGCCCAGAAGCAGGAGCAGCAATAAAAGAACTGAACGGGGAGCGATAATCGATCGCACTGCTGGCTTTGACAGGAGTACGTCCTTTATCTAGCTCCCCACACATCGCGGGATCGCGGAAGTTGGAGACGGATTCGAGGGCTGTTAAACGTCTGTATTGCGTCCCCTTAAAGGGACCTCTTATTATTGTAGAGAGCAAAGGTGATATTGGTTTCGAGGCTACCGTGTAGGAAATCCAGATATTACTCCGGACTGTGCTGTTAATTAATTAACTGGCCTCCGCTCCCACAAAGCGCACTGCCTCCAGCTTCCTGCGCTTTCAGAACGTGGAGCAGAAATACATCCACCTGGGAAGGATGCATTCTTAAAAGGATATCTTTTTAAAACAGATCCTGAGAATCAGCTGTACATCGGTGATTTTAAAATGACAACTACACCCTCCCCTCTTCGGAAAAGGGTTCTCATGTCGAATACCGCCACTCCGATGTCACTGAGCCCAGACCGCGTCATCGTGCACGACCTGTGTCAAGATTTCCGTTCCCTCTTGGCTTCGCAGTCGGGGTGTGGGGTGTTATAGTGCAGTCGGAGCGCTCTGGACGCGGCGAGCTGTTAAACACGGCACGTGGTCTGATCAAAGACGGAAGGCCTCGCGCAGGTTTGAGTTGACTAACAAAGACAAAGCTGAGCTCCGGGGTCCCGGGTCACAGCTGTCTGGCTCCTGGGCTCCCCTCTTGCCGTCTAAACTCGGCCCAACCATGGCGGGGGCGGCCAGAGGTCCGAGCCCGGCGTTGCTCACACAGGCCACAACCGGGTCTGCCCTGAATCCGTGCGCTGGGAAAGGCGGGCTTTTCCCTGATAATGTCCTATGGGGTATAATGACTGCAAGTACTGTATTACGCTTGTCCTGGTGTTACTCGCTGAAGAAACGAATGGGGTCTCGCAGTCTGTTGATTTCCTTTTGGGGAGGGTAAGACAAGGAGACCTGAATTTGAAAAATTCCAATCCTAGCGGGACCTCGACTTTCTGGTCTACCAGTTCAGATAATGTGGCGGTACTGACCCCGCTGCCGGCTGTGCACGCCAACTCTGCGCTGTGCAGAATGTTTCATGCCCTCCGATTGGACCATTTAACGGGCCAGAACAGCAATAAAAGAAGGGAACGGGGGGCGTAAACATCCCCTTAACCCGAACGACACCAGTAGATAACATAAGAACCTATAGGCCCCGAAACATACCCCGCCACACCCGTTGGGCAGAATCAGCCATCTTTGTTTTGTTTTGTTTTGTTGTTTTTATTTTGGCCCATAAAACGATTGGATATAACAAAATAGGCGTCATTGTAATTAACGAGGTAATTCAGATGCTCCTGCAAATAACCCGGGTTTCGGTCCATCTCTTCTTTTCAAACTTTTTGTTTTGGAGGACTTGTCAATCAAACGAATAACTCAACACAACGAATTAACCTCACAGAGCCTGGTTTTAAAGTAAGTGACAATTAACAATGCCCTTGGCAATCCATGTCCACAACATAGTCTGTGTAGTGGCACGGAGTAAAAGGCGGTAAACAGGCATTTTATTGGTGTAAAGTGTGTCACAACTTGCGTTTAGTTTCTGAAATTTGCTCTTGATGGGTTCCCCTCAGTTCCGGAAAGATCATCTTGGTTACTGAGATTAAAATGCAAAAAATATAAATATAATACTCAGTAGATTCGAAATTCCTGAGTTGTACTTACAACAGAATAAATTGAGCTCCTTCTCGAATAAACAACGCCAGCACCTGTCACAAATCTCCGTCCCTCTTCAGTTTCTGAAACGGGTTATTTTTAAGTGAACCGCAATTTAACACGATTTAAACGTCAAAAGTAACACCATTCACGAGTAATTATATATTGCTTCTTCGTCTCCTACGTTTTAGTATTAAAACATCTATTATTACCAACATCAACAATGAATTAATCTCTCAATTCAAATAAGAACAATGCCTATTCTGTTTCATACTGTTACTGCGGGTGAAGCCATTTACAGTTTTCGCTTGTGAGTGCTGTTACTCTAAAGCTCAGAAAAAAAGGTGTAAAACTAAGTTTTAAAATACTTTTCAAAGGAACCACAGATATGTAATTTACCGTTTTGAACATTGGCAATTAAAAAACATTTGGCCTGCGACTTGTATGTTGTGAATTTTGCAGATAGAGAAAATGTTTACCCATATTTGCGCAGGTATGTTATTTTTTTATTTTTTATCTCCTTTACTTTTCTGTTGTACTGTACGATCAGTACGGACTCTTAAGTGATATCCAACCTACTTCAATACAGTGGAATCATACCAATTAATACAGATAAACGAATCTGATTTACCAGTAATATCTAGATATATTCTACAGTATTTGGAAGTATATTACAAAACAGAGACTAATAAAAAGATTATCCTAATTTGAAACAGACGTGTGATTTTAATCCCATTACTTAACCATCCTAATTTTGTTTGTTTTATATACAAAAAAGCAATAATTAAGCATTTCGGTATATTCTGACTAAACTAATGAGATATCCATCTTGGAGTTTTAATCCCCAGTTAAACTCTCTATAACCCTTCTCCCTCTCTCCTGTTCTTCCTCTCCCTCTTTCTGCGCCTCTCTCTCCATTTCACCCGAAGGCAAGGAGCCTTCTCTCCCTCCCTTCACTTCAGAGAAGATTTTCTTCCTTCTTCTTTTCAATTTTACGATTCGCTTTGGTCTCCCTTAGACAGTTTTATTTATTTCCAAACACTTGGCCTTTTGTCCCGGCGCAGTGGTGATGTAATGGTGTTTACCCTGGGTCGGGGATTGGTGGAGTGGAGCGCGCGCACACCTATCATTACCGCTGGACTTCAATCAGATAAGGCGGGGAGCCCGGAGTCCGCGGTCCGATCGTGAGTTAACTGCCCATTCACTGCTCCGAAACTCGGGGGTCACTGTTTCCTTTAATCTGCGTTAATGTAATTCTAGCGTAATCCCACAGTTAGTAAACAGGGGGCATGTTTCAGGCTCCTATAGCTACAGGTAAAATCGACAAACGATCTCTTGCCCTTTTCGCGTACAATTTAAAGGCTAGTGGCGACTCACACACAGCTTTGCAAACGAATACGTACGTACGTGTTTAGGATTCGTTCTTTCCTCTTCATAAAGCCAACCTAGGATGTCTGAATCTTATTATTATACATCGGGAAGCCGGTCAAACGATAAATGTTCTTTACAATATATGTTTCTGAAGAATACGCTTCTGTGACCCAAAGTACAAGAATGTTTCTGAAGAAATATTTCTGAAGAATGATAAAGGAAGGTTGCCAAGGTGAAGGGGTTTAGCGAACACTTCTTGAAAGCCTCCAGTCGGACTTCAAATGAAATTAGACGTAGTCGATCTATGTCCTCACGGGAGGGCGGTGTATCATTGCGTCCTTTAAAAACTATCAAAGATGGCACAAAGGATACGCGTTAAGCACTCCTTGAGTGCGGCTGTCTCTGGGCAGTGGTTCTGGAATCGGTGTTTTATGTCTCAGAAGCCATGCAGAAAAACTTCACTGTGGTAATGAACCATATGGTCCTATTTTGGAGGTCTTGCTCTGCAGACAGCGGTGGAGTCAGGCTCTGGGTCGCGCTGTTGAAGATGAGAGGAACCCTGCCCGGCCTGTTTGTTTTTCGGCACGTCAAAACGGCACCCAGGGTGTGAAAAAACACAACCTTTACTGGCACTATTTGAGACAAAAACACACATAGCACACCATCTCCACCTCTTCGGCCGGCCCAGAGCTCACCCGTCAATAATTCTAAAACAGCACCTTTTAAAACAAGGTCATATCACGATTTCCCTCATGATTCCGAGAGGAAACATATATCTGTTTTAACAACCGGAGTTTTCGACCACAGTTTGTTGTCCCCCCCAATGCCAAATCCACCGTTTGCGTCAACCTATTGCCCAACAGCATACGCCCTCTGTCACGATCTCAGGGCTGTTTGTATGGAAAGCGCTTTCCAACATATACAGTCCAAACAAGACAGCAGCACACAAGTATTCACACAGAACTGGGCGTTTCAAACCTTTTTTAGGGGCACAGCGCGAACGGAACCGAGGAGGCGGAGTGCCCGGGTCCACTCCACGACAAGACGCCCTTCTCCCGGCGCCACCGCTGCCCATGGCGAATATGCAGGACAGGTTGGCACACGATCTCGGTGCTATGACCCAGTATGGGACGCGACCGCGGCCAGCGTGCTTACATACTGTACATGCGGTCGCGCTTTTGCGCCTAGCGCTGCGCTTGTTCATACCGCAAACTCAAAGAATTGACTGACACCGACACTTCTTCACGGACTCCAGCACGCAAAGGCACTGCAGGCGCTCGAAGGTGGACACAAAACACAAAACATACAAAACACGCACACGCACAGTCGTCAGATGTGTCTTTGGCATGACAAAAGCGTTTGTAGTCCAGAGGTTCATTTTTTCCCCTATTTTCCCTTCCAGATATGGTTGGAATTCATGAACCGATGAAAGACACTTGGTAAACGAGAGAGAGGCAACAGACAGCGCAGGAATGAAGAATAAAACGTTCTCGGTGAAACAGCAAATGTTGGACTGGGCACCCTGAAAAATCACTCTGAATTACGGGCATCTGTCTACACAATTGTGGAGTTGAAATTTGAAAAATGAAAAAAGATACTAATAATCAACCATATTCGGCAACGCCATGTTTTTTAAATGGCATTTTTACTAAATGTGTTTTATAATAACTATGGGGTTTAATCAAGAAATAATCTGACACAATCGCGTTTTGTCAGAAATATGAGGTAGAAAAACAATGATCGGTTATCAAATAATTGTTCCTTTTCTTTTTCAAAAACTAGTAATTGTGATATACATGAGCGAGCGACAATTGTGTTTAATACACCTCAATTCATTTATAATTTAGATTAATAGAATTAATACACCTCGATAACAATACAGCACCTGCAGTGGACTTAAACCAAATCATTCCAAATGGCCTCAAAATTGATTCAATAGAGAGTCGGAAATCGGTTTACATTCAACCACAGCAAATAAAGGAGAGCTCAAGGAAACGAGATTTCTGATGTGTTATTTCCGTAAATCCTCTTTAATTAGGAACTGTCTTTTACTCGGCGGAGAGCAGAGCCCGGGGTAGCTAGTTCCAGGAGCCACTGAACCGTGAGGGCTAGCGTAGACCACGCCCCCTTTACCTTAAACCCCACCCCTCCCAGTCCAAGTCCCTCCGTCCCAAAATCCTCCAGCCAATCGCGGGACAGTGCGGTCTGTCCTGCCGGACCAGGAGAGCGTGAGAGAAATAAAATCGGCCCTGGAACCAGCCGGTGATTAGAAACTTCCTAAAACCGCCGGTGAGCGCCAGGACCGCCTCTTCCTCATTTCGCGTTATAGACAAGCGTCTTGCTGATAAGTCTGGAAAAAAAATACACAGGGAGCCCCAGCGAGCCCACGTCGTTACAGAACCCGTGGATTTTACAGGATAGCTCTGACTGCGAACAAACGAACAGGTAAAATTTAAGAGTATCAAGGGATTATTATTATTTCGTCTTTGACTTTCTATAGTCTTTTAATGCTGACTGCAATATCGGTAGCCAACGTGTACAGTGCATGAACTCCGTGGATGATGGAAACAGATTTAGATGTGCTGTGGATCAGTTCAGAATACTGCATGCCGTTTCTGCATTGTCTTGTTGGATGTTTTTTTTTTTTTTTTCCACCAAGAGCACGAGAGGTTTATTCACAGAGCTTGACCATTTGGTAAAGTAAACGGTCCGCCAGTCAAATCCATTAGTGGAGAAATACAGGAGGAGAAAGGAAATAATTAGGAACAGGGGGGGTAACAGGACGTCTTTGCTAGCTGGGGTTATAACCATGACGTAAGGAGAGCTCGCGTTTTTAAACCTCGCTGTTAGAAAACGCGAAAACAGTGTCTGTTTTGAGGCAACGTGGAGGAATGGTCTTGCAAGGCAAGAAAACAAATGCGAGTTGAAACGCGCGTCGCAGAGGTTATTATATCCGGAAAATGACTTTCGGAGAGAGGTAGATGTAAAATCAGGTAGATAACATGCTTAACAACAGACCAATAGATGCAGCTGTATGTATTGTATCACACACCCAAGTATACGAGAATGATGTCGCCTTAGTTAAAGCGTTTAAATTTCTTTAAAAGGATCCAAATTAATTCTTAACAATCTGTCCTTTTTCAGCCTGTTAAACTGCGCACACGGGAGCTCATTATTCGTTTGTGCCGACACTCCACATGGACTTATAAAGAAGCTCAGTGACAGGGACGTGCCCACAGCTCTAACACAGAGCACACTAACGTACAGCCAAGGGAGCCACACAGGACAATGTCCCACGCCACCGGACGAGGTAAAACATCATCAAATCCTTAAATTCCCCACATCGACTTCTCCACAGCCACGGGCTTCCTCGTTAGACAGATCGTTTTCACTGGAGCATCAGGCGACCCATTTTTAATAAGAACAATAACGATAATAATAATAATAATAATAATAATAATAATAATAATAATAATAATG